CTCTCTTTTTTCTTTCTTTCTTTCTCTTTCTTTCTCTTTCTTTCTTTGTTCCTTTCTCTTTTTCTTTTTTCTTTCCTTTCTTTCTTTCTTAATTTATTTGCCACCCATCTTCTATCCAATGGCTCTGGGAACCTTTATCGCCTGTATGTCAGAAAGGGACAGTGCTTCAGTTGTGCAGTTGTATTGCAAAGTAAAAACAAAACTTGTGTTAGACTCTGCTGCAGGTGCCTCTGAAGAAAAGCAGGGAAAGAAAATGAGAGAAAACGGATGAAAGGAAGAAAAAGACTCAGCAAAAGGACTCCCCTAGGTATGTGTCAATTTCACTCACAAGCGACTACTGTAACCCCTTGCACACCCTGAATTTTGCCTCCTTCCCTGGGGAGGAAGCCTGAGAAAGCCACAGGGCTGAAAATATCCCGGGAGGTTCATCAACTGCCAGCAGGCAGCAGCAGCAGCAGGCGATTAATGTCACATTCCCATCCTCCTTATCAGTACATTTTGTCAAGAGGGCCTAAATATCACATCATGTTTTTATACGCGATAAGTCAAATTTTCACAAGCTGAACCGGCCGCTGCACATGATAGAGTGGTGAGTAAACTTGGGCTTGCCAGCGGCCCTAGAGAAATCCATGAGGGACAGCTGCTGCAAAGCCACAATGTTATTTGTGGCACACTTGTTGGCGTCCTGTAGGGAGAATCCTCACATACCCTGTGATGACCCAGGGTGTGGCACAAAGGCAACACAGTCAGAGAATAAGTCTGGGTCCCTTTATTAGCTCCAACTTTGCCCCCAATGTTCCGGTTATCTTTCGGTCTGGAGAAAAACTCTCCCCTGAAACTGCGACAGCCTTTGGCTGCAGATATTCCAATCCAAATGTTATAAGCTGAAAACTTTAAACTCTAAATCCAACAAGGCAAGATAAGGTAATAAATCTGGCAGGGCAAGATAAGGAGTTCCAGAAGTGAAATAACACGGCAGTAGATCAAACCAGTTGGGAGGATGCGAGGAATTCAGATAAATGCAGCCAACACAAGATAAGCTCGACGTTTGGTCCTGACAATTGCCCCACCAACCTGCCTCAACTGTCTCCCCAGCTGTGCCTTGTGAAGGGAATTGGGGCCCTTTCCTCCCCCATAAGCCGCACAACCCATATTGCTCTCTTCTCTGTTCCTCCCTGCATGCCCTAGGATGAAGAGGGGGTGGGCCTGGGTCTTCCTCTGAACTCCCTCTCCCTTGTTCTGCCTCTTCCCTGCTCTGCCCAGCCGGACTTTGCCCTTCCTCAGTTTCCTCCATAGCCAACGGAGTCACACTGCCCCCGCTCCCTGATGACAGTTCGTCTTCGTCTTTGGAGTCAGACTCCGATGGGGGCATGACATACTCCTTTTAAAATAAGAACGCTCCCATATTGGCAAAGTAATGCCCCTCCACCCCTGGGAGAGAAAATGCTTCCCTGAAATAAAACCAAACTGGCCCCTGTGAATGGATATTTAGTTTCGCAAACTGTTCCATTCATAAGCAAAACAGCTTCAGCTATAGATTCCGCCGAAGGCTGCAATCGATCAGATTAAAAAACAGAGAGGCCAAAGACACCTAAAATATACATTCCCCACCCAGCTCCAAAGACAGAGAACAACCTCTCGGTCACAATGTGAGGCAACAAAAAAATAGAATATTGAAAGGGCCCATTCAGGCACAGAGTACAGGACATTTCGCAAGGAACCTGGGCAGGGTGGGGGTTCAAACCCCCCAACAACCAGTTCACTGCCCCGGTTGCTGGCTGAGCGTGGCCATATTGGGCATGGCCTACCGGAACTCCCTGTTTCCAGCTTCCGGTGTGCCTCCAGAGCCTGGGGGAGACCATTTTCACCCTCCCAAGGGTCCGGAGGCCTGTCCTGGGCCTCTGGGAGGGTGAAAACGGCCTCCCCAGGGCTCTGGGGGCCATCCAGAAGCCAGAAACAGGCCCATTTCTGGACTTCCGGAAGGCCCATTTTCCTCCCTCCCAGAGCTTCCACATGGATCCCACAGTTACCTCCATCCAAAATGGGCCACGTGGAGTGTCCTGGGAGGGGAGGGGCCAGCTGGTCAGTTGTAATACCAGTTCGGCAAATCAGATGTAACTTTAACATCCGGTTCACCCAAACCAGTCCGAACCGGTAGAATCCCACCCCTAAACTAAAGCCCTAGAACCACATCAAAACCCGTCCACTCACCAGACTGTTTTCTCAGCTGTCCCAGAACCGACTGCTATGTCACTTCGCTTCTGGTTCCTAAAGAAATGGAGACCTCCTTTCTAACTGCAGCCTGCTTGCAATTGATTTTTTTTCCCCAGCATCTTTCTCCTAGTTTAGAACCGGACCAGAATTTACTTCCAAAAGCCCTTTTGGGAGAAAGAGTGGTGAAAATGAAATGAAATAATTGTCTTCGAGGGGCAAAAGCAATGGAGAAAAATTTGCACCGGTGGCTGTGGCAAGAAATTATGTCTGAGGATGCAGAAAGCAATTGTCAATCAAATCTTTATTATGGTCATAGAGCAGCATATTATTTATTGATTAGATGGATGCTTCTCCTTTTTGCTCCAAACCTTTGTTCATGGGAGAGGGAGGGAGGGAGGGAAGGAAGGAAGGAAGGAAGGAAGGAAGGAAGGAAAAGGGAAATGGGAGAGAGGGGCAGAGGGAGGGAAGGAAGGAAGGAAGATAAGGAAGGAAGGGGAAGGGAGAGAGAGAAGAGACAGGGAGGGAGGGAAGGAAGGGGAAGGGGGAGAGGGAGAGAAGGGAGGAAGAGAAGGAAGGAAAGAAGGAAGGAAGGAATTATAGCTGTTCTCATAAGCTAAATACAAAGAAACCGTCTTTCTCTAAACTTTTAAAGGAACCCATGTAGCTATCTAGCTAAGAGCTACTATTTCTCTTTCCTTCCTTCACTCCTCCTCCACCACAAACAACAATTTCGGGGCAGAAAGGTGTAACTTTAATCTAGTAAGTAAATAAATATATATGAAGGGGACAGAGAGGAGGGGAATATCCAGAGGGAGCTCAGGCCCAATTGGGCCCCTCTTTCAGCGGCTCTTCCCATTTCCTAAGCAAGCGTCGGCTGTCCAGGCGTCAAGTTAGAGGGCCTGTTTTCATCCTTCAGCAGATGTTTCCAGATGTCAGGCTGGAGGAAGGTCGATGGCCTCTCTAAAAATATAACCATTAGCAGCTCAATTTTGACTTGACCTTGAAGCCTGCCAGCCCTTCCTTCCCTCCGCTTCAAGCGAACCTCCTTGAATTTTGGCTGGTGGAGACTCAACCCGAAGAGGCCAGTCCCGCTTTCTAGAAAGCAGTGTGTGTGTGTGTGTGTGTGTGTGTGTGTGTGTGTGTGAAACAATGCCCCTAACTAAGGAAGTGGAAGCATCTTCAGTTTATGCTAAAGTGACCCCACGAGCCCTCCTTCAGGGTGCTTTACTGCTCAGCCAAGCTGACCAACGTCATAGAAAAGATGTGTACATAATAAATGTGAATGGTTCTATCCTGAAGGATTTTTTTTTTTGAAAGTAGCAGGAAAGCACTGTGTGACTTCCCCCCCTAACTTCCCCAGGGATATGGGGGAGGGGGGGAGGAAGGAGGCAGCTTTCTGCCAAAAGTTTATAATCAGCCACTGTTCTCCCAAACAATGCGAAGGGAGAAGGACTTGGTGTGGATTGTCATTTGCTCTGTCTTTAAAAAAGTGCCTTTTAAATAGAATAGAATAGAATTAGAATAGAAGAGTTGGAAGGGACTTTGGAGGTCTTCTAGTCCAACCCCCTGCCTAGGCAGGAAACCCCTCTACCACTTCAGTCAAATGATTATCCAATCTCTTCTTAAAAACTTCCAGTGTTGGAGAATCCACAACTTCTGGAGGCAAGTGGTTCCACTGGTTAACGGTTGGCAATGTCAGGAAATTTCTCCATAGTTCTAGGTTGCTTCTCTCCTTGATTAGTTTCCACCCTTTGTTTCTTGTCCTGCCCTCAGGGGCTTTGGAGACTAGCTTGACTCCTTCTTCTTTGGGGCAGCCCTTGAGAGATCAGAATACTGCTCTCATGTCTCCCCTAGTCCTTCTTTTCATTAAACTAGACCAACCTTGGCAAGTTTAAGACTTGTGGACTTCCACTCCCAGAATTCCTGAGCTAACATGACTGGAGGAGGAGGAATTCTGGGAGTGGAAATCCACAAGCCTTAAAGCTGTCAAGTTGGAGACCCCTGAACCAGCCAAGCCCAGTTCCAGCAACCATTCTTTGTATGTTTGAGCCTAGAGTCCCCTCATCATCTTGGTTGCTCTTCTCTTTTTAGAGCCTCAACATCTTTTTTACATCATGGCGACCAAAACTGGATGCAAATATTCCAGGTGTGGCCTTATCAAGAACCGGACAGATTGACAGAAGATGTTAGAGCCTTTGTTCTGAGAAATAGTTTCCTTTTTTTGTTAGACATTTGGGGAACTTCTTTGCAGTAGATCTGAAACCAAACTTGGCCATTAATAGGACACCTTGTAGGATCACAGAATTGGGGAGACGGAAGGGACTATCAGGATTACATATTACAGACACAGACACCCCCCCCCCCCCCCCCAAAAAAAAATCCATTTGGAAGGATTCTACGAGGTCTGAACTCTGCACCGGCTGCCAGAAACAGACATCGAATGGAATACAAAGAACAGGAGAGAAAAACATGGAGGCAGGTAGCAAGTTTACTTATTCAAAGACACCTTTGTATTTTGTTTTTATCATTTACAGATAGAATTAAAATCCCTTACTTGGAAAAAGTATTATCCTGTACACAGAGCCACTAGAATCAACCCTCTCGAGAGAAGGGAATCTAGCCTTGGCAAACCCACCAGGGGTTCTCTACTGACTTACTAACAAGTGTAAGTACAACAGTCCTTTGACAGAGAGGAATCACAGCTGGTTTGCACACTCTGTCCTCTGCTCAGTTCTTGTGGGCACCTGGCCTGTGGGCTCCGAGGAGTCTTCGTGGGGTTGGTTCTGCTCGCGGACCTTCCTGGGACGTTGAAGGTTCTGGAGCTCCGACTCCAGCGCTGCAGACTTAGCCTTTTCTTCTTCAATCTCTTTCTTAAGCCTCACCACTTTGGTCCAGACTTCAAAGTTTTCCTTCTCAAGGCTGCAAAAGGAAGACCAAGTTGTATCAAGCCACGATTCAAAGGGGTGAGTCCCATACTACCGTAGGGTGGGTAGGAAGGAGGCAGAACATCTGGGGCCGCCACCAACCCGGGGTTTGGTTGACCTAAAAGTTTAGGTTTACATGGTAAGGAAGCAGAGAGCTTGGCTGACAGAACATCACCCCCTGGGTTTTGCACCCAGATGGCATCAATGACTCTCAAGTGGCTTTGGGCAAACGGTGACTCATCCCTGACAATACGCATGAAATGCACAGCCAAACAGGCCACCCAAATCTCTGATTTTCAGGGCATCCATTTTTGCTGCCTCTGCAAAATTGAATATATTTTCTTACACTCCTGTTTAATATCACGCTCCCACATAGTGCACACACACATACACACATGCACACCGGTGGTGGGATTCCATTTTTTCTTTTACTACCGGTCCTGTGGGCATGGCAGGGGGAGGTTACTGCAAATCTCCTTTCCCTTCCCACCCCACTAACCTGCTTTCCAGCTCTGTTTTCCTGTGCAGGGCAACCAAAGAAGACCCAGCCAAACAGCTGGGACTCAGGAGGTGGAGAATAGATGGGGTTGGCGGGGCCAGTCAGAGGTGGGATTGGCTGGTTCTCCCAACTACTCAAAATTTCTGCTACCGGTTCTCCAGAACCGGTCGGAACCTGCTAAATAGCACCACTGATGCACCCACACCCAGTGAAATGAATGACATCTCTCTTACACTGCATTAGAGGTCACTGAATTATCTAGTTCACACATAATGTTAAAGTGGAATGTTCAACATGGTTTGTTGAACATGCCCACGGTGGCTTGATTTTACATTATAACGAATGTGGAGTTGCAGGTTCTGCTAAGCTGAAACCAAACCACATTCTGGTTTTTGCATGACGTGTGAACCAGAATTCTCTCTGAATTCTACATGGTTCCTGGCCATTTCTTCAGAGAAGTGACCACATTGGTGACACTGAACAGCCAGGCTTAGTTTGCCACGCAAATCATGGCTTCCTTCGGTGCCGAAACAAGCAGCAATTCACTACAATCTCTGTCCAAAGTTGCAACCTGGGTTTGGTTGAACATAGAATATCCCAAATGCAGGCACCTTGCCAATGAGTTGGACTACAGCTCCCATCATTCCTAGCCAGCACGGCCCATGCACACAATGGGGAAGGATGCAATAAGCCACTTTTAGTAGCAGCTTCTTACCAATCTCCAAAGAGATGCATGAATGACGAGTTGGCTGGAACGGGATGATAGACTTGGAAGGGCCCTGAAATCCAAGGGCTACTGTAATCCAAATTAAGACCCTGCCCCCAAATGTCTGTCCTCCTTTCAGCATAATGTCATTAAACGAATGATGGTAACCTGAGGGCTACCTGTAGAGTTAGTTGGTTGGAGAGAGAAATGGAATCAACCAAGGCGTTTGCACATTACCTTCTAATTTGCTCCTCATAGCTATTTTTCTGTGCCATCATGTCCTTCTTCAACTCCGCAATCATCTTCCTAAGCAGTCCAGGGTCTTCTGGATACACGTTGTCCTCCTCAAACGAGAGCTCCAGAATTGTGGAACCATTTTCTTTAGCCCCGGGAGGGTCATTCACTTGTAAACACGTCCCAAAATCATCTCCCAGTTGGCTTGAAGAACTGTGGTCCGCCTCACTTGGGGCACCCTGCTCCAAAGCGCAGAGGCTGCTGGAGTCGGAGGGCTGTGCGAAGCTGAACAGTTTAGAAATTCCCTGAGACAAAGTCCTCCTGTGACCTCTTGAGGGAGAATGAGGACTGGGCTGGACCATGGATGATGATGATGAAGAAGAAGAAGAAGATGAGGACGATGACCAAAAGTTGCTACTGAAAATATCACTTCTGTCCATGTTTTTGTGCCCCCTGTTGGAAGAAAAGCTCTCCACGCATTTCCTGTTTGGCACCGTCTGTGTCCTCTTTCGCATGGCCTGCGTCTCCAGACCGTCCCTAGACTGAGGTTCTACTTGATCTTCTGCTGAGGGAGCCGAACCGTCACTTAATTTGGAGTTGGAAGCTTCGAGATCATCTTTCTGGAAGTAAAAGCAGGAATGTTGGAGAATACTGGCCAATTGGACACAACCAAGCAGCTCTGCTGAATTCCATGCCCCAATTTAACACGCGGGGGGCCTTACCTCACCCCTCCCCCATCTGTCTGTTCCACCTGACTGACAGTTTGGAGAGGGAGGATAACTTTTATTTTTAACTAGCTCGAGACCTGTGGTTTGCTACGAAACTATGTGGTCAGGCTTCATTTCGGGGGAAAGACAACTAGCTTAAATGACTTTAAGCTGCTTTAGAAGAACCCAAAGGCCACATCAAGAGAATGTGGCATTAAAACATTTTTTTTTTCCTCCAGACCTGTCCATGGAAATTTATACGGGAATAGCTCTCTTTTGTATTTTGTTATTTTGCAACAGTCATTAAAAACATATTTATTTATTTAGGTTTTATTTGCAGGCAGGATGTCAGGGGCTGTAGTTCGAATGCCGTCTTTAAGTTTTCATGCTTGAAGCTGTTATTAAAATAGTCATTTAATTTCACTGTTCTTGGTTTTGCTAGCTTCCTTGAGCGCCCCCTGTAGGCCAAACAAGGGAACTGAAATATCAGAAATAAGCGGTTTTTAATTTGTACACAATTTCAATACGGGCACAACAATCGGGGTTTTCGCTTGCATGGGCAGGGGCACTCATGGGTCCCTCCAGGACTCGGAGGTCTCCAAACTTGGCCACTTTAAGACTTGTGGACTTCGACTCCCAGAATTCTCCCAGAAGACCTGTGTGCTTGTGGAGTTGAAGTCCACAAGTCTTAAAGTGGCCAAGGTTGGGCCACTTGCTCCAGGCAAACCCCAGGATTAATAAGCCCAGTAGGCACTCACAATTTGCAACAGGCTCCTGTTGTCCCTCCGGGTCATGGATGGCCTCTGGACAGCATCCCAACCGACGGAGCTTCGAAGCACTGGAGCTTTCTTGGAGCCGCTTTCGGAGGGAGGCGGAGAAGGCTGTGGGTCTTTGGCCCCTGGGAAGAGCTTCTTGTGGTCGCTGATCATTGTCGTCATCACTTTCTGAATCTGCGGGGTCCCTGCAAGGAAAGCACAACAGGCATCGCTTTTAACACACCGTAGGAAGTTAGCACTCACCCCACTCCTAGAAAAATGAAATATCCCAGGAAATATTAAATAGGCAGAATATTTCCCCTAAAAAGAGTAGAAACTCAAAGAGGCAGAAACACACACACACACACCTTTGCTAATGAACCATTACTCTGGCCTAGGCCGGTCTATTTTACATAACAAAGATCTACTCCAGAGAGAGCCATGATAGGAATTGCCCAAAGCCCTTTCGCTACATCATCATCCAGCAAAGGCTCAACCAAGCCTGGGACTCAGGACAGCCTACAGAGTTGCCCCTGCGTGGCCCCATGGGAGTCGGGCAACCAATCAGAATACAAGCTCCAATTCAAATCCCAACAGAGGGTATATAAGGGACTCTCAGCATCTCAGACCTTCCTTCTTTTCCTTCATCTTGAAGCATGCGATCCCCCTTTTCACTTTGGAGCTCCAAGCCAAGGGGGCCCGTCCACCATTGAACCATCTTTCTAAACAACCTCCATGTTTTCAGTGTCTTTCTTCCCCGCTTGGAACTGAATCCAGAAGGATCATTTTTCCAACAATACAACAGAGAGTAAATGGAAGTGTCAACTAACCCCAAACACTTTAACCTCAGACTGTCTCCCGTGGACCTCGTCCCATTCCTAAGAGGTCTGTAAAGGGCGTCCATAAGTGCACCACCGTGCCTACTGTCCCTGTCTTAATGTTCCCCTTTTATTCATATCTATCTCATGTATTAATAATCAGGTTTTTACATACATATATATATATGTATGTATGTATGTATGTATGTATGTATGTTTTCTGAGGTTCTCGCGGGTATCACTCTGAGAAGCACAGAGCCGAAGACAGAAGCCTGAAGATGATGAATGAGACTTCATCGAAACGTTGCCTAGATACTTCGAATCTTACGCGGGAGAAAACCCGAACAACCAAAGATCCATATATATATATATACATACATACATACATACATACACATATAATCAAATGGATGCTTGACAAAATAAATCAATCAATAAAAAAGAGATTCACAGCTTTGTTCCCATAACCAGGTTATTGGGAACTGGGAGCAATTCCTCGGGCCGGTCTGGAGAAATTGGTTATGGAAGGAGATCTCCCAAAGGTTGATTGTGCAACCAAAAGTTCTTTGTGGTCTTTGAGGACCCAAAATGATACGTTCGAAACAAAATTTTCCCCTTAAGGAATAATGCAGTGAGTCACAAGGCAACCAACACATTTAGTTTGTGTGTTGAATACTAAACAAACAACAAGTACCAGGACAAAACTTACATATCAAAATGTGCTGAGTACCAAATTCGGCGAGTTTCAAACTCCCGCTGCATTAATATTCCTCCCTTTGGTTTCCTAGTTTGATCTACCTCAAAGGGTTGACAGAGAGGGCCTTGAACATGAATTATAGACAGGCACATCTGGAGATCTCCAGGTACAGGACAAGCCATTGACAGCAATCTTACAAACATCTGGCCCCTTCGAGACCCACAATGGAGTCAAAAATCCTTGTGCAAGGAGCGGGTCCCAGTTTCACCTCTCATAATAGTCACTGGATCTTCTATCTGGGGACGGATGAGGTTCACCCCGAATACGGTTGCCAGGTTCTCCACACTCATCTTGTTGGTGTCAGAACTCTGCTGGACCTCATGCAGAAACCTGTTGGAATTGAAACCAAGAGTCCAAATCAGTCATCGCTCAGCTGTCCGTAAGTGTTGTAGTTCACCCCACGTCCCCCCACGCCTCCTGCGCATGTGTACACAATCCCCCCTGCCCCCTTACCTGCACTGTGTCTCACAGCGGATTTTCGGCCAGTTTGAGGGTTTGAGGCATTTTTCGGCCTCCCAGAGGCTTGAAAAAAGCCTCTGCCGGCCGAATAATAGGCCCGTTTTGTCACTTCCAGTATTATAGGAAGTGACAAAACGGGCCTATTATTTGGCCTGCAAAGCCTGCAGAGGCTTTTTTCAAGCCTCCGGGAGGCCGAAAAACACCTCAGACCCGCCGAAAAATGAGGTGCTACCAGTTAAAAATCACATTTCTTAAGATCAGCACTCCGGTTGAAAACAGCCAAGTGTTGAAAGAAGAACCTACCGGCAGATGTAGCTCAGAAGGTTATAGTTGTCCGGGGGTAAATGTGCCAACTGCTTCACTAGCTGTGGGTAACCCTAGAAGAATACAAGGAGGGTTTTAATTCAAGGATCATGTAATCCACCTTTTGCAAAGTTCTAAAAAGCAAAGTCACTTAACAACCGTGTTACAAACTTAAGAACTGCAAGAGATTTACCCAACAACTCTGGCAAGAAAGACCATAAATAGGGCAAAACTCATTTCGCAACTGCTGTTATGGTCCGCCGGTGGAGCTGGCGGCAGTCTCGGACAGGGAGGAGGTTGGGGAGGAATATGGGCCAGTCTTGGAGGCTGAGGAAGGCTCGGACGAGGGCTCTGCATCGGAGGCAGTGATGGGGCCAGGGCTGTCTGACAGTTATCAGCTGCCTTTGGAGTTGGAGATCAGTGAGAAAGAAGAACAGCTGGAGCCTGTTCCCAGTGTGCACATGTGCAGAGCTGCCAGGAGAAGGGAACATTTAAGGAACAAGGCTCGACTCAGGAGTAAAGGCTCAGGTGGACGGTGAATGGCCCCTCCCAGAGGTAATAAAGAGGAGCGAAAGGAGAGTGGGGTTTGCAGGAGACAATTAGTTCAATTCATTAGGGTGAAGATCTGTTCCTGACTCCTTGCCAAGTAATTGTTGCTACAACGTGGCGTTTGGAGGATATCGGCCTGGCAACTCTCCAAGCCTGATAAAGGTCTGTAGTTGTGAAATCTCATGAAAGACTGTTGGCCGAGACCTTTGCTGGAAAGGAATTCCCTTTAAACAAAATAAAAGGGGTTTTACCGGGACGGGGAGTTGGCTTCATGGTCTCGGGAAGGTCTAGGTCAAGAGCGCCACTTTACTTAAGTTACTGGAGTTCCACCTGTGGCCAAGCTAGGGTAGTAGGGAGATGGACTTCGGCCTCTCTCTCGGACCCCGTGGTGGGGGATCTCGTGATATGACGAGAGTGGGAGGAGCCACTTCAGGAGAGAATCTTCCACAGTCTTGCAAGAAGTATCTGTGATTGTAATTTACCTTGCCTTTGTCAGAAGTTAGAAGCTGCCCACACAGGAGGAAATCCTCATACTGGCTCCAAGGAATGACCGGCTCAGGGAGTTCTCGCAGGTAAAGTTTAAACAAAGAAGCCACCGTGTGCACATCTGTGTCTCTGTAAACACATAAATACATAAATAAAGGGAGGATGAGCCAGACGTCGCCGGAGGTAGACTTTCATCTACAGGTCTTAGACTTCGACTTAGGAGCATGATTGAACCCAAACTTTCTGTGAGTAAGTGAGACATTTGTTCAGTCAGCTTGGTCCCATTTTATAACCTTTCTTGTCACCGTTGTTAAGGGAATCACTGCAGTTGTTAGTAACATGGTGGTTTATGGAGGTTCTCAGTCCTCCAGGTCTCCTGGTTATTCCAAAGGTGCTTATTTTTTCAGGAGGCAACTGGACTTTCTGTTTTTTTTCCTTTTGAAGACATTTTGCTTCTCATCCAAGAAGCTTCTTTGGCTCTGACTGGATACAGGGAAAGGGAAGGATTTATACTCCTTGCAGCCAGCTGGTCATTGGCGTCTTTTTAGAGGGTCGTTGAGGCCGCTTGGAGGTTTACCTGTGTCCTGTTAACTGTTGCATCTAAAATCGATCCTCCTTGCAGACAGCTGGTCCTTTTTAGATGCAACAGTTAGATTCAACAGTTTTTAGATGCAACAGTTAACAGGACACAGATATTTATTTATTTATATTTATTTGATTTGTCAATTGCTTACAAGATAATAGGTATAAGTATATACATAGTTATGAATACATGAAATGGGTACATATAAGAAAAATAAAAGAAACAATAGGACAGGGACGGTGGGCACGTTGGTGCGCTTATGCACACCCCCTACAGACCTCTTAGGAAAGGGGTGAGGTCCATAGTAGACAGTCTAAGGTTAAAGTTTTGGGGGTTTGGGGAAGAAACCACAGAGTCAGGTAGAGTATTCCAGACATTGACCACTCTGTGGCTGAAGTCGTATTTCCTGCAATCAAGTTTGGTGCGGTTAACCTTGAGTTTGTATCTATTGTGTGCTCTTGTATTGTTGTGGTTGAAGCTGAAGTATTCATTGACAGGTAGGACATTGCAATGTATGATTTTATATACTATACTTAGATCGGACTGAAGACGGCGTAGTTCTAGGTTTTCTAGGTCTAGAATTTCAAGTCTGGTGGCATAAGGTATTCTGTAACGAGTAGAGGAGTGGAGAACTCTTCTTGTGAAATATTTCTGGACTTTCTCAACTGTGTTAATATCAGATACGTAATGTGGGTTCCAGACTGATGTGCTGTATTCGAGTATTGGTCTAGCAAATGTTTTGTATGCTCCAGTTAGTAGTGTGATATTACCGGAGAAAAAGCTACGTAGGATTAGGTTAACAACTCTTAATGCCTTTTTGGCTATGTAGTTACAGTGGGCTCTAGCATTGAGTTCATTAGAGATGAATACTCCAAGGTCCTTGACAAAGTTTGGATCCTCAACAAGATCTTGACTATTCAGCTTGTATTTTATTTTCTGATTTTTTCTGCCAATATGTAAGATAGAGCATTTATTTGTTGAGATTTGAAGTTGCCATTTGTTTGACCACTCTGATACATAGTCAAGATCTTTTTGAAGGGTAGCAGTATTGTCTGTGGTATTGAACAGCTTGAAACCTCCAAGTGGCCTCAACGACCCTCTAAAAGGATGCAAATGACCAGCTGCCTGCAAGGAGTATAAATATTTCCACTCCCCCCTATCCAGAGCTGAAGAAGCTTCTTGGATGAGAAGCAAAATGTCTTCAAAAGAAAAATCAGAACGTTCACTTGCCTCTTGAAGAAAAAAGCACCTTTGGGTCTGAAGGTTGATTGGCTAAAGGGAACTTCCAGCCCAGCCTTTCCCACCTGGGCCCCCTCCAAGTTGAAATGGATTTAGCAGCCTTGGCAATGTTGACCGGGGAATTCTGGGGACTGGAGGCTTCCTGGTTGTGGAAGCCTCACCAGACGTAAGACTGGAAACTTGAGGAAAGGGCCACCTACGGGTCAAAGGAGGGTCTCTCGCCAGCATCAAACGCATCCCGCAGTTTCTTCACCAAATTGTCTTGGCCAGGCAGTCGGAAAACGCCCTCTTCGTCCAGGCCTTTCATCCTGATGAAGTCTGCACACTTCTCCACCAAGATAGGAACCAGGTGCTGCCCAAATCGCTGTTCGTACATCATGGTGTCCCCCAGCTGTTGTCCAAAGACCACTGGAGGGAAGGAAGAGAGAAGGGAAGAAAAGGGAGGGAAGGAAGAAAAGAAGGAAGGAAGGAAGGAAGGGGAGGGAGGGAAGGAAGAAAGGAAGGAAGGAAGGAAGGAAGGAAGGGAGGGAGGGAGGGAAAGAGGGAAGGAAAGAGGGAGGAAGAAGAAAAGAGAGGGAGGGAGGAAAAGATGGAAAGGAGGGAGGGAAGGAAGGAGGGAAGGGAAGATTTTTGAAATGTTTTTTCAATTCTGCAGACCAAATTCTTATATGAGGCCCTGTTAAGAATTTCAAATTTCAATTATACTAATAGTAAAATAATAAAAGCATATTGTAAGCTGCCCAGAGCCATTATATCAGTGAGATGGATAGCATCAATAATTAATAAATAACTAAATAAAATAAAAAGTTAAATATCAAATGTTGGAATCCTCTCGTCCGTCTTTGTGCCAGGAAACCAGCCGGACTCTCCCTGACGGGGGCTGTCCAGTCTCTTCTGACAATACTCCAGAAGTGGAGAACCGACTGTTCTACAACTGGACATATGGACCTAAATAACTCCTGTCTTTAAAGTTTACAGGAGGGTCAGCACAGAGCTCTTTTTAACCAGGTCCTGCTAATTTTATGCAAGGAGACACATTTCGGAAAAACTGCGCACCCAACACCTCAAGAGAGACGCTGTACTGCAAAGATGCCTCTGCAATCCTAAACGTTTGCATGAGAAGATCCTAACTTCCAACATTGCCCTTAAATTCATCCCAGGAAATTCTTGCCTTCAATGCCTGTCCTGGCAATCTGTTCTCTGAGCTCTCCAGCTGGGGTGGATATTATGGACCCAGAGGTTCTTTGGGTGGACCCTGTATAATTCTGGCTCTACTTACCTCCTAATGGGGAGCCAACTACTCTTCGGAGTAGCTTGACCCACTCCTCCATGTCAGCTTGAGAATTTGCCATCAGCACAAAGGAGTCTGGCCCAGTTCGAGTTTGCTCTCCTGGACACCCTGTAAGCAGGGTGGGGGTTGCAATAGTTAAACAAACCACAACAAGCTGTATTACGCAAATACACACAATTATAGTTTGCTGACTTATGCACAAAGGACAGGAGTCATATTTCACTGTTTTGTGGTCAGAAGAAGGGGAAGGGCTAGGTCAGCTCTCCTGCTCAGCCCAGTTTCCGTATCCATGCAAACAGATTTAGATTAACAGAGTTGGAAGGCTTCTTGGAGGACATCTAGTCCAACCCCTGACCCACCCAAGCAGGAGACCCTACACCATTTCTGACTGTCCAGTCTCTTCTTGAAAGCTTCCAGTGATGAAACTCCCACAACTTCTGAAGGCAACTTCTGTTCCATTGGTTGGTTGTTCTCACTATCAGAAAAATTTTACCTTATTCCCACGTTGAATCTCTCCTTCATCAGTTTCCATCCATTATTCCTTGTCTGGCTTTCAGGAAAATAGCTTGACCCCCGCCCCCCTCCTCTCTGTGGCAGCCCCTCAAATATTGGAAGGCTGCTCTCCTGTTTCCCCTGGTCCTTCTCTTCCCTAGACTAGCCAGGCCCAGTTCCTGCAAGCGTTCTTCATATGTTTTAGCCTCCAGTCCCCTCATCATCCTGGTTGCTCTTCTCTGCACTCTTTCTAGAGTCTCAACATCTTTTTTTTATAATGTGGTGACCAAAACCGGATGCAGTACTCTAGGTGTGGCCTTACTAAGTAATTACGGTTTATCAAAGCACGTATTTGGTATTCCATCTGGACTCGCTCAAACTGTAATTCAGTTCCCTGTTACTGACCTGGAATGATTTCAAAGATAAATTTTCCAGCTTCCTCGGACCCAGAAGCCACTTCTCTGATGGTGCAGCCTTGAAGTTGTAAGGAACCCTGAAGCCAAACAATTGCACAACAAGATCAAAAACACAACCCCCCTCTATTCTTTCATCCGACCACGATCTTCGTTTTATAAAATAATTATATTACATACACAATGCAACAGTAAACATTTCATAATTCACATTCCTCTAAAATGCACAAGAGTATAGTGTATTAAATCCATTTTTAAAATGGTTAATATGCTACAAATCAATCTAGCAACATACATAGGATCAGATTTGGGGGGGACCACTAGAATCACCCACTTCAATGTACAAGAAACTATTGACAGCTGCGGTTTTCGAACTGCAAAGTTTAAGATGGCTGGACTTCAATTTCCAGAATTCCAAGTCTGAAAGACACCGATTTACACCATCTAAGAGATGTGGCTTTCCATCTTCTTAGACCCCTCTGAGATGGAGAACCCACGACCTCTGTCGATGGACTACTCCCTCTTGGTCAGGTCTTCCTGACAGAAAGTCTTTCCTTATACTCAGATGACATCTAGATAGCTGCAATCTGTGCTCCTTATTTCTGACTCTAGATTCTGTGGCCGTAGGAAAACAAATAAAATCTTGGGTCCCAATTAAACGCTCACACCTTCAAAACCTCAGTGACTTCCGCTGCCTCATTCCACATCCATCCAAACTGATCTGAGTTTATAGTCTAGTGCTTGATGAACGTTTTCTTTCACAAAACCCAAAATAAATATTTCCAGGACTGGAGCAGGCTAATTAAAAGCAGCCAAAAAAATAAATAAAATAACACAGGGCTGCCTACAGAGGAGAAAATGAAGGATTGGCAGCGGGATAGTTTTTAGGCAAGACGTGTGACTGGATTTGTGATGTCCACTCTCCAGCACATGAAGGGATGTCCCATGGAAGAAAATCAAGACAACGCTGTGTATCCATGTGCGCATGTAACCATCTGGACATTGCAAGCATTTGGGGTAGACACAAGATCCTTCATGTCTTAGAAATAAGGCCCACGCCAAACAGGCAGGGATATCCACCTGTTGGACCAGTCTTTGCAGATCTCTTTTTCTATCTCTTATATCTTTTCGGGCGTAGGAATAAACTGGGGGTCTGAATCAATTCTGACTAACATGGATTCCAAGCCATAAGAAAAATCCAGTTTGGTTCACAAATGCAGAATTGGAGCCGATGCATTCAGAGGCAGGGCAAACTGGACAAGATCTCTAATCGAGCCCACAGCTTAAAAAAAAATGCTAGCTTATTCCATCGCTAGTGAAACCCCAAGATTCTTCTGGTGGCGGGGGGAAGAAAAGGAGGCTGCTCACCTCCGGCCGGCAGGGGTGAGATTCTTCCGGTTCAAACCGGTTCTATAGAACTGGTTGTTATGATTCTGCACAGTTTGGAGAACTAGCCAATCATGTCCCTGGCTGGCTCCTCCCCTCTCCGCCTGCCCCTCCCCACCCAGTCAGTTCTTATTGTGCATGGGCAACATCGTGCGCATGCCAGATATCGTTGACTGCATTCTCCCTCGGCCAGTCGCTCCTTAAGATAATTTTTCCCCTCCCAACGATCAGCTGTTCCTATGATCAGCTGTGCTGGGATTCCCCTCGATGTCTTACTGCTTTGACCAGGAGGCTTCCCTGAGGCCCAGAAGAAGAAGAAGAAGAAGAAGAAGAAGAAGAAGAAGAAGAAGAAGACATGTCCACCCAGTTACACGGCCAGGGCCACAGAACCTGTTGTTAAAAAATTTGAATCCTACCCCTGCAGGCCAGTCATGGGGCCAAGCTAGGAAGGCGCCTTGTGACTTGAGAGAACTCAAGTTCCTTGCAAGCTCTGGTGCTTTTGATCCTGGGTGGACCAGAGCAGGAGGGTAAGCAACATGGGTTGATCTACTCTGGCTGTTGGAAACCAGAAGCAGGCAGGGCTGGGTGGCAGAGCTGAGCAGCTAGACTGCCGTGGCAAGGGAAGACGCGGGCAAACTTCTGAGAAGGGAAATTTGCAGACAGGAAGCAAATTGAGAGGGAGGGGGACGAAGAACAGGATGTCATCCCCCACCCTGGGTGAGAAGGTGCCAACTGTCTGAGCAGGCTCTGTTCTTCCAACACTTGGTTGCTCTCCCGAGACAAGAGCTGAACACGCGTAGGCCCGGGGAGTAAGGATGGCGTCAAGGAAGAGCAGCTTTTGAGAAGGGTTCTGGAATTGGGACCCTGCCTCCCACTCAGAAGAGTTGGAGGGCATTAGAGAAGAGTAAAAAAAAATAAAGATCTGATTAGGGCTGTCCTGCTAGATTCCTATCGAGTTGATCTAATGGTGCAAAATAGCATTTAGGCAAAGATCTAGATTCCTCGGGAGGCAGCAAAGAGTTAGAGATTTCTGTTTCTCTTTGGGACTATCTAGTTAGGGGCAAGAGATTTTTGCAGCCCAGAGATGACAACCACAAAGATGCCAACTTGGTCCTCCTTCTCCCCAGAAGGGAACTTTTACCAAGATTTCAGAAAAGGTGCCATTTATTGGAATTTTTCATGGAATGAAATAAAGTTACGGGTGCAATTTTTTTAAAAAAACAATTTATACAGTGCCACTTAAGCTGCCCTGAGATCTAAGGACAAATTTTAGCTATTGTACCATTGCAATTTGGCACTGTATTTGCAAAGAGCCCGGGAGCTGTAAGGAAGGGGGAAAAAAACAGTTCAGGAGCTGCACCCAACGAGGCTGTCCGTTCCGCCTACTTATCTAGCAGTTGAAATATTACACACCGCCAGCTAGAACATTTAGAATGAATTGGGAGGTTCTGTCCACCGATTGAGTCTTTCTGAAGGACCTGGGATAGGTAGATGTTGTCATTTAATAACATTAAAATATTGCAGGATGTCAGCTCTTCCCAGTCAAGTTGCCTTTTGCAACTGAGTCGTGGTGATTTGGTCATGCCACAATGGTGCTCAAGAAGTTTTGGAATTGCACACAAAATGCTTACGATGATGATGATGGTTGATCACTCGATATTTAGACTGGATTTGGCCATTTTATCCAACGAGCCCTTCCCAAATCCCTGGGATAGGCAGGTGCTGTTGTTTGAAAGGATTAAAGGTATATTTCTGCAATCTTCCTGAAATTTCTGCTACTTTTCAAACTATTCTTTTTCTCCCCAAAAGGAAAAAGATCCGCTTAGAAAGAAAAAAAATCCAGGTTGTTTCAGATGGAAATACTCCGTGTGGAGGAAGCCTTAAATTTCAGGAATAGCTTGAAAATATTTTACTGGGGCTGTATTACAATGATTTATAAGTACTAATCTTTCTATAAATTCTATCACAATTCCACTTGAATGCATTTTCATGTCATTCTGTGAAGCAGAGAAGATGGGAAGGGAGCCAGCACTTAAACCCCTATATAATTTACAAAGGTTTTCAAACCATCACATTTATTTTCAATTTTATTGTTATCATTTGAAACTGAGGACAAAAATACAACAAATCTCTAAGTTGTTGAACAGAGGGGAAGGCTGACTCTCCATTGAGATGATGGATATTTTATTGACTCAATGATGCATTTATTTGTAAATGAAAATCAGTGTTAAATTTGCCAATTATTACCAGAATTGCATCGGCAGAACTCACAGGTCCAAGCATAATATTCCAATAAACTTATTTGAAGTTATTAAATGACACTTATGGATCTCTGGGCTGCTTCATCCCATCTGTCAATAATGGGCCTCATTGATCATATCACCCCAGCTTGGGGAAGAGGGTCTATTAAATTTAATATGTATGTATCAGAGGTGGGATCCAGCAGGTTCTGGCCAGTTCTGGCTGAATTGGTTGACAGAGGTGGGCCAAACCTAGAATCAAGCAGCACCATGGAGGACATCAACCGAGAATGGATGGTGCGATCATGAATTTAAGTTCCGAAAATCAGACTAAATATTGCACCCTGGGTGCAAGGCAGAGGAGAAACTCTGAAACCTTCTCTTAGATGAATCACCCTCTACAAAGCTCTTCCTTTCACCAGAAGTTGCATCCAGGAAATACAAACCATAAGACAACTTTGTCAAGGCTGATCCGAAGGCTTCTGAAACATGATTTCTTCAACTCTCTCCAGAATTGGAGCAAGAGCAAAGTGCCTCAAAAGCTCTCAGAACTAGAACAGACCATCAGTCTCGTTCCTTGCATTCTTTCCTTCCCAACTCCTTAAAACCACCCTCAAGTCATTTGGCATTGTGCAATGCTAAAAACCAGCACCCCTTCACTGGTTCAGATTTCAAGCTGAACTGAAGAGAAACAGAAGTGAAGTTGGAGGTTGCAATTCAACCGCTAGTCTTCTTCTGGCTCAGGAGAATTGCACTGGCCTCGTTGGCACCAACTCAGAAAGCTCAACCTGCCCAAAAGGAGCTGCTGATCCAGTTCTACAGAGGAATTATTGAGTCTGTCATCTGCACCTCTATAACTGTCTGGTTTGGTTCTGCAAGCCAACAAGACAGACAAGGACTCCAGAGAGTAATTAGGACTGCAGAAAAAACAATTACTATCAACTTGCCTTCAATTGAGGACCTGTATATCCTGCACAAGTCAAAAAGAGGGCTGTGAAAATATTTACAGACCCCTCACATCCTGGACATAAACTGTTTCAACTCCTTCCCTCAAAACGAAGCTATAGAGCATTACACACCAGAACAACTAGACACAAGGGCAGTTTTTTCCCCCCGAATGCCATCACTCTGTTAAACAAATGATTCCCTCAACTATTTACAAAGTCTGCACTATATGTTACTATTAATCTTCTCACCACTCCTTATCACCCATCCCCTCCCACTTGTGACTGTATGACTGTAACTTTGTCGCTTGAATCCTTACGATTTATACTGACTGTTTCCTAGTAGGATTTGATGGCTTATTTGTACCCTATGATTATCATTAAGTCTTGCACCTTATGATTCTAGACTCTTGAATCTTTTATGTACACCGAGAGCATTTGCACCAAGACAAATTCCTTGTGTGTCCAATCACACTTGGCCAATAAAAAAAAGAATTCCAATTCTCCTCTTTTGTAAGGCCACAGAAGATAGAAGGTGCCTTTCTACGCACGTCAGTGGCTCCAAACCCTTCCCCCGCCATCAGCCTTCTGATCACTCCAGCAGCATAAACCTGCAGCCAGAGCCCTCCCTACCTGGGGCTTCAGATCTTCCTCTTCCTTGTAATAAAGCAGGTGTTGTCCCTTCAGCACGAAGTACCTCTGCTGCCAGTTCTTGACGATGGAGCGCTGCTTCTTCAGCCAGCCGGTCTTCAAGGGGCGCTCCAGAGGGTTGGGGGCCTGAAGCCAAGTGCTGGAGCCTTTTGCATCAACGGCCATCATGCTCTGCGAGCGAACTAGGGAAGAGAAGACAAATTTGTGAGCCCAGGAGAACGAACACCGCTGGAGGAACAAGCAAGAGGACAGTCAAGGCAGGCTCTCTGCCCCCAAAGCACGCGAGGCTTCCTTGATAGGGAAATCTCTCATTTGGGTCTCCCGAACCGGACCCAGAGAGCAAAGCTGGGTTTTTTTTTTGCTTTGCTAAGCCCACGCCTGGGGCAAGGAGTTTGCTGGAAAGGAAGCTATTTCTCTGAGTGGACTTCCTTTTTCCTGTGTAGGCGGTAAGCTTTACAAATAAGAACATTTAGAGAGAGAGAGAGAGAGAGAGAGACAGAGAAAACTTTCCAAGGCATCTTTTTTTCATCATTAAAGCTGCAGAACAGGGGTCCCCAAACTTGGCCACTTTAAGACACGAGGGCTTCAACTCCCAGAATTCTCCAGCCAGCTATGTTGGAGTCGACCAGCCTTAAAGTGGCCCAGTTTGGAGACCTCTGCTACAGAGGAACCCATGGGACTCTTGTCTGAGTGGAGGACATGTTGTGTGGGTGGAGTGAGTCCCCCAAAACATGCCTCCATTGTTCTTGCTGAATTTGTAAGCTGTCCTCGAGGAAAAGACAGGATTCTTCACCTATTTTGGGTCTTATACGCTGCCTGGTTAGATGTCAAAGAGAGCAGTAGATGCGCAGCTCGGTGAAAATGCACCTGGGACAACAAGATAGAAGTCCTCCAAGAGCAAAAATCTAAACTGCAAAGAAACAGAAGGAAGAGACAAACAAGCGGCCTCAAGGGGCCATGGGTGGGAAGTGTTATTCGTCCCCACCGGAAAGTCGTTTTTAGTCAGGGTGGGTGTTCAGGGTGTTCAAGAAAGGGAAGGGCTTGGGACCTTCCAACTTTTGCAAAACCTCATAATAAAAGGTCTTGCAAGGGACACGGTGGCTCAGAAGCTAAGACGCTGAGTTTGTTGATCAGAAAAGGTCGGGAGTTTGGCGGTTCAAATCCCTAGCACTGCGTAACAGAGTGAGCTCCCATTACTTGTCCCAGCTTCTGCCAACCGAGCAGTTTGAAGACATGTGAAGAATGCAAGTAGAAAAATAGGGGCCCCTTTGGTGGAAAGGGAACAACGTTCTCTGTGCCTTCGAAGGCGTTCAGTCCTGCCGGCCACAAGACCACGGAGATGTCTTCGGACAGTGCTGGCTCTTCGGCTTTGTAATGGAGATGAGCAGCACTCCCTAGAGCTGGAAACGACTAACACAGATGTGCAAGGATATCTTTACCTACTAGAGCAGAAGGCATGTGGCTCATGTCTGAACTGTTGAGGGTCTTCATGTCCTTGGATTGCCAAGAGCAGCAAGAACACGAGAAAGTTCTCAGGGCTAGTTGTTTGTTGCTTGCAATGGAGGTCTTCTGTCGATCCCATCCCTTTCCTAAGTTCTTCGTAAATGATTAGGGCCTTCATAGAACCTGAAATCAGCTTGGGAGGTCAGCATCGTGGCTACTCCCAGAGTCCACAGAAGAGTTATCGGCAAGGGAATTCCATAGTCCCTCATCCTAGCCAACTTCGAATTCATGGGTAAAATGAAAATCTAGTTGTTGCCATTTCTACAACCTTCCAAAACTCTGATTAGAGAGCTCCATGAGTGCCTGAATTTGATTGTCAAGAGAGGGACATGAAGAACGGCCGCTTTTCTCTTGCGCCATTTTAATCTATCGTATCATTTTGTTTTTCTTATTATTGTACTGCTCATTCATGGCGAGGCAAGTTATGCGGCTCAGGCACAAGGCCTTTGCTTTCCTTACGGTAACCGAAGCATCACACTCTCTACAATTTCTGAAAGTGGGTGAGTTAGATTAGATTAACAAGCATTAAGGCACCTTGATTTAGAGGGATTAGAAGTTCAACATATAGACTTGAAACCAGAGATATTTTTATTGGGAATTTTACCTGATATATATAGTAAAGATTTGAAATACCTGATTGTAAATGTATTAACAGCGGCTAGGATTGTATTTGCTAAAAATTGAAAAAATGAGAAAATACCATTACAGGAGGAAATTATGAAGAAAACACTGGAATGTGCTGAAATGAGTAGATTGACCTTTGAAATCAGAGAACAAGAAGATAAACAATTTTATAAAATTTGGGACCTTTTCTATCAATGGTTAGATAATAAAATGCAATAATAGAATACCTAGAATTTTAGAAAATAATGTATATATAAAGATGTATTTCTTTTTGTTTGTTTGTTTATCACATCTATAAAATGTTTTCAGGATAGATTTGGGAGGATTATATGAATTGTTATAAAATAAACCAAGTAAATTATAGTTATCTCGCAAAGTATGAATGAATAAAATTATAGCCAAATAATTGTTTAATAGCGATACCAGGGTATTCAATTTTTGATTGATAATATGAGTTATCATGCAATGTAACTGTAATTGAAGACTATGAAATGGATGCGCAAAAAATTTGTAAACCAACCGACACGCTGCTTGTACATCTATGAAAGAAAGCTGGATGTTTTTATGTTTTGTTTGTTTCTGTTTGTCTTTAAAAACCAATGAAACTTGTTTTTTTTTTTTAAAAAAAAAGTTCAACAGAAGAAAGGTTTTAATTTTTGCCACTGTCTGCTGCCGTCAAGGAACTTCTGGAGGACTTCTGGTTTCTTCACTTTCGACCCAAGAGAGGCCTCCCCAGTCAACACAGCCAACACAACCCATTTTTAATCCCACTGGTAGATTTGCCATCTGGGGTTGTCTCTCAACTGCCACCCACTCCCAAGAAAGGTAACCTTTGTATTTTGCTCCTTGACTTTCTCTCTCTCTAGAGACAGGCAGACAAACTGGTTGCAAAGAGGAGACAAAGTGGAAACGAAACTTCTGGTGGAGTAGAACAGCTCGGAACGTCTTCAGCTGATTTGCTTGGAGGGAGAATGTTGGCCCCATACCTGCCCATTTCAACTCCAGCTTAGTTCAGTTCTGATCCACCCACCAACCCACCCACAAAAAAACCCCTTCTGGAAACTTTTCCCAAACAGAGGAATGCTGAGGAAAATCCTAAAGAAATCTAGAATTTGTTCCCCAGTGCTCTCTGCTGGCTGCTGATGGGTGAGGCAGGAGGAAATGGAGGGTGTGAAGTTAAAGAAAAAAGTATTCGCCTCTTTCCACTTTAATTCCTCTTGAGGGGGTGAGTGCAAGCTAACGTGCTTCTTGAAAATGGGGACCACCAGCGTCAGAGGATGAAAAAAAGCGGCAGCATCCCAGCTCTGCACTCTCAGCAAGTTCTACACGGAAATCTCCAAGGAGTTCAAGAACAGAATAGAATAGAAGCTGGACGGGATCTTGGAGATTTCTAGTCCAGCCCCTTGCTCCAACAGGAGAGTCCAGCTCCCCAATTTTCTCAGGACAAAGCTTAGCCTCCTTTCCCCCATTCTGGAGGTCTCACCCTTGCAAACCGTGACCCCGAATCACTCAAGACTATCAAAGCAGAGGAACAAACAACAACAATAATAATAATTCTCTTTTGAAAGAGTGGGAACCTTTTACTGTATAGACTTTTTGTTACCGAATTGATGATTTATAGATTCGGAGATTTGGAGACTAAAAAGGATTAAAGAAAGAGGGGAAAGAGTTAAGTTGTTAAGTTGTAAAAAGAAGGGAAAATATCAAAATCCTATTCTTTCTTTCATTTCTCCTCCTCTTCCTCCTGCCTCCTCCTCCTCCTCCTCCTCTTCCTCCTGCCTCCTCCTCCTCC